TGGACTGAGCACAAGCTCAACGGACCAGCCTGGGAATCTGGATAAGGCTTTGCTGCGATGCTGGGACATTTGAAAAGACCCTGATGCTGGGAAAGATTGAAGCTGGGAGGAGAAGGGGACGACAGAGGATGAGATGGTTGGATGGCATCACCGACTCCATGGGCATGAGTTTGCGTAAACTCCGGGAGCTGGTGACGGACAGGGAGGCCTGGCGTGCTGCGGTCCAGGGGGTCGCAGAGAGTTAGACACGACTGAGAGACTGAGCCGAACTGAACTGGGACGCGTGCTCCAGTAAGAGGGATGGAGAACAAGTAACAGGCTCCCTCGCTCGCTCCCCGAGGGAGGTGAGCTGGCTCCCTAAATGGGGTGGGGGGAGGAGCAGATGGAGGGGTCGGGCCCAGAGGGGTGGCTGAGGGGGCTGCCCACCCCCTGGCTGGTGCCGTGTGCAGGGGTCACAGCGCAGTGCCCTGTTTTGGCTCCCAGCACCGCAGAAATGGCAGTCGATCCGTGGCCTTTATTGTATCTCATTGTTCATACTTAGCCCCAACTGTGCCTGCGTACAGCTATCTTCAGTCCATTATAGTTTCTTTGCATCTGTTCCTGGAGGAGACGTTTGTCCAGGTGCAAGCACTCCAGCAAAGAGCCCCGGGTCCCAGGCTGTCTCACCAGGAACTGAACCACTTGTCACCACATTCAGTTGACCCAAACAGTCACAGTGCCCACCCCAACCCCAGAGCCGAGGTGCCGGAGACTCCGCTCTGTCATGGGGAGGTGGGGGGTCGGGCAGGTTCGCTATCCACTGCCACCCAATTAAGAAAACCCCACCTACCTGCATTGCGGTGCACCGCGGTTTCCTTCCAATCCACCTGAAGCTCCATCTGGAAGGACCCTGTGAAAGGTTTAACCCTGCAGCCCAGGTTACAGGATGCCACCGCCCCTTCTAGGTCCCAGCAGCACGCACGGGGGCCCCTGCTTAACTTTCTCCATACTCACACATTCCTTCTCTCACCAAAAAGAAAAATCCAACGAGAAAAACAGAACCTCATCATATTAATCACGATCCAGTTAGAGCATTAGAGCGGCTCCCTCGCGACAATGCAACAGGCAAGACCTCTGTTCATGTCATTCCTGAGTTTTTCACCTGTGCTGAAACCGCACAGAGCTGCCTTATAAAACGATCCCTGTAACGAAAAAGAAGTCAAGACACTGAGAACAGACCAGTGGCTCCAGCTGGGGAGGGAAGGAGGTGAGGGGCAGAGTAGGCCAAGGGGAGGGGGAGGTACAAGCTCTTCTGTATAAAATAAGCTACAGTGGGACTTCCCTGGTGGCCCCCTGAATGAGACCCCAGGGGCCTGGGTTCGGTCCCTGGTCAGAGAACTAGATCCTGCATGCCGAAACTGAGACCTGGAGTAGCCAAATAAATAAACGTATTTTTTAAAAAGCTACAAGAGTATATTGTACAACATGGGGAATACAGGCCATATTTATAATAACTATAAAATATAACCTTTAAAAATGTAAATCACTCTGTTGTACACCCGTAACTTATGTAATATTGTACTATATTGTATACCTGTTATATTTCAATTACCAGCTTCCCAGGTGGCGCTAGTGGTAAAGATCTTGCCTGCCAATGCAGGAAACATAAGAGATTTGGCTTTGATCCCTGGGTCAGGAAGATGCCCTGGAGAAGGGAATGGCAACCCACTCCAGCGTTCTTGCCTGGAGAATCCCATGGACAGAGGAGCCTGGCGGGCTACAGTCCACGGGGTCACAGAGAGTCAGACACTACTGAGTGACTTAGCACGCAGAGAACATGTTTCAGTTAACAATTTCTTAAATAAGTTAAGCTGGATCACACACACAAAGAAAGATCTTTACTTCTGTGAGATGCATGACCGGGTAACGGGCCCTAAGAAACAAGCCCTAGACGGGAGAAGCCCAAGATGAGAAATCCAAGCAGACAGCTGCCCAGCCGGCCCTAGGACACAGCTTGACAAGTAACTGATGTCAAACAGGATCCCAAACAAACAGTCTGGGGGTCCTTTCCACTCCTGGAAACACCAGAGGCAGGCCGCCGGCGCCAAAGATACAAGAGACACAAATTAGTGGGGACCACCCCTTCTCTGCCCCACAACAGTGTCGTCAGCAGCCGGAGGAGAACCAACCTTGGGCTGTGCTTGAGGCACCCACCCTGAGCCAAATGGGACACTCACTCACCTGCAGCTCCCACCTCTGTGCACAGAGAGATGAGCCTTCAAGCACCGCAGTGCTGCATACGTCCCTACGGCATGTCAGCAAAACACCACGAGTTCCTGAAAGGAAGGGATTCTTGGCCATAATCGCTTGCCAGGTCCTGTTCCCTAAAGGCTGCCAAGACCTGGAGGTCTGTTCTGTGTACACAAAACCAGCAGAATAAAACCCCCCACAAAGCCCACGAAGGCATGTAAATAGACAACAGAGCTGAAAGGGGGCAGAACAGAAAGACTTCGGTTTAAGCATTTTGGGAACCCCACCAATTCCTTGATTTATAGGTTGCGGTTATCTCTATGCTGTTTTCAAATTCAAAATGTTTTGCTTTAAACATTCTAAAGCATTAAAAAAAAAAAAAAAACAACTGTTTACCCTCTCTCAGACGTGGCTTTGGTTTCATTGTAGGGTACTTGGGATGACAGGACAAAAAAAGGAAGATGTCGAAAGATGAGTCTGCAAGAAGAGTCAGGGAAAGGCCAGCGGAGGACAGGGAATTTATGAGCTGCCGTGGACCCTGGGGGAAGAAAGCAGAGGAAAGTTCTCCATTCTAGTCAGTCTGTTTGGGGGCCTGGATGAAAGGGCTTCCAGGCCACCCAGGCACGAGTGTGCGCTTATTCCTTGCTGACCCCGCAGTTAACACCTGTAGTAGGTTGGATCGTGCTTTCCAGAAAGTCATGTCCACCTGGAAACTCAGAATGTGACCTTGTTTGGAAATAAAGTCTTTGCAGACATAATTAAAGGTAAGATAAGATCATTCTTCCCAGGTGTCACCAGTGGTAAAAAAAAAAAAACAAAACAGCCTGCCACTGCAGGGGTTATAAGAGACATGGGTTCAATCCCTGGGTTGGGAAGATCTCCTGGAGAAGGAAATGGTGACCCACTCCAGTATTCTTGCCTGGAGAATCCCTATGGACAGAGGAGCCTGGAGAGCTACAGTCCATAGGGTCGCAGAGTCGGACACGACTGAAGCGACTTATGCATGCAAGATGAGATCATAGGGGACTTCCCTGGTGGTCCAGTGGTTAAGAATCTGCCTGCCAATGCAGAGGATACCAGTTCAATCCCTGGTCCAGGAAGATCCCAGATGCCGAGGAAGAACTAAATCTGTGCTCCACGACTATTGAGCACAGGCTCTCAAGCTCACAAGCGACAACTGCTGAGCCTGCAATCTAGAGCCCATGCTCTGCAACAAGAGAAGCCCGGACACAGCAACTGGAGAAAGCCCTCACAAAGCAACGAAGACCCAGCGCAGCCACAAATAAATAAGATATCCCTATTTTAGAAAACAAGATCACAGGATAGGCCCTCAATCCAATGGCTAGTGTCCTTCTATGAAGAGGAAAAGACAGACTCGGAGGCCAAGGCTGCGGGAAGACAGAAGCAGGTTGGAGGGATGTCGCCACAAGCCAAGGAACACCAGGAGCCACCAGAGGCTGGAAGAGCCAAAGAGCCTCCTCCTCCAGAGCCTCCGGGGGGCACCCAGGATCGTCGACTCTGATGGACTTCTGGCTGCGGAACAGTGAGATAGTACGGGCCTGTTAGAACTCCCCAGGTGGTCCAGTCATTAAGACTCTGCACTTCCACGGCAGGGGCATAGGTTCAATCCCTGATCAGGGGACTAAGATCCTGCATGCTGTGCAATGTGGGGGGAAAAAAAAATTACAGATCTGTGTTTTAAGCCACCCCATCCATGGCGACTTGTTCCAGCCACCCCTGGGAACTGAATACAAAGCCCACACTCCCGTGCATCCAGTCAGCAAAGGAAGGGAAACCCAGAAACAGAAGCACACACAGAAAGGCAGCCACACCATCAGGTCCAGAACCGTTTGCATTTTCCCTGCTCTCAGGAGACCCCCCAAGGTCATGATTCTCCAGTCTGAACAGGAGTGATTGGATCCATGTCTGGGCTCCACCAGGAAGACTCTGCAGGAGAGCCCCAAAGGCATCAGGACAAAGATGATTCCCCTTGGTAGTTTTCCATGAGACAGGCACCGTTTGCAAGTTTCATAGGGAAAGAACCAAAGAGCACGTGACCTCTCTTCCGCCCACAACAACCAGGTGGGTGGTAGCTACTGGTACCCCATGGAAGAGCGAGGAGATGGGAGCACCAAGGTTAGAGGTTGCCCTCCAACCTGCCCCTAGAGGTTCTTTGGAGGCTGTGCCAGGGTCAAACCCAAACTGTCGGACTCTAGGGAGAAAGACTCTTCTCTTACTATCCAGGCTACTGTCCCCAAAGCAGAGGGCACTGAGAAGAAAGCAGGGGCTGAAACCCAGATGCGAATTCCCAGTGGCCAACGGGGAAAAAGGACATTCCAGGTAGAGTCTCCCCGTGAGCAGGAGAGGGCAGCAGGGAGGCAGAAGGGACCGGGGACAAAGGATTCGGGGACCTGCCGTTATCCACCAGAGGGGATGACTTGCATAGCTTGGAACACGGTCAAAACATACACCACTTGTAGAGTCCTCGGCAGCCTCCACCGTTCAGCAGATAAATGGTGCTAAACCTTGCAGGCTGTCATCCTTCAAGGAGATAATGAGATGATTGGAAAGGTCAACCACAGCCCAAAGTGGAACAATGGAAGTGAGCCAGAAAAGGGGTATTGGCTCTTCCTGCCTGGATCTGTGTTTAGTTATGCTTTTCTGGGGCATTTTTAAAAAACAGAAAATACACAGTGTTGACAAAGCTATGTCAAACACAGACAGCGTATTAAAAAGGAGAGACATCACTCCGCCAACAAAGGTCTGTATAGTCAAACTATAGTTTTTCCACTCGTCAAGTGTGGATGTGAGAGTTGGATCATAACGAAGGCTGAGCGCTGGAGAGTTGATGCTTTCAAACTGTAGTGCTGGAAGAGACTCTGGAGAGTCCCTTGGACTTCAGGGAGATTCAACCAGTCCATCCTAAAGGAAATCAATCCTGAATATTCAGTGGAAGGACTGATGCTGAAGCTCCAATACTTTGGCCACCTGATGTGAAGAGCTGACTCATTGGAAAACACTCTGTTGCTGCAAAAGATTGAAGGCAAGAGAAGGGGACGACAGAGGATGAGATGGTTGGATGGCATCACCGACTCAGTGGACTTGAGTTGGAGCCAACTCTGGGAGATGGTGAAGGACAGGGAAGCCTGGCGTGCTGCAGTCCACGGGGTCACAAAGAGTCGGACACGACTGAGCGACTGAACAGCAACACAGTGTTGAGGTTTGTTTTGCCTTCCCTTCTGGCTGCAATCCATCCTCCAGGGCTCACGGTCTGTCTGCAGGAAGCAGAGCGCAGGCTTAGGAGGGGTCTCTGTAGAAAGCAATCGCCTCGTCTCATCCACAGAGGTCCTGGGACCCCACAAGGGAGAAAGGGGTCTGAGGTCCTTCTGGAGGTCTTCACACCCAGAAGGAAGGAGGGAGGGGGGCGCAGCTCCACTACAAGGAAGGCAAAAGCGTCCAGACCTGCTGACCCTGGACCCCAGAGCCAGGGCAGGTTGCGCAGGACTGCTGGGCCATGCCATCTGCCTCGGTGGCTCGGGGACATGTAGGCTTGCACACACTTCCATGGGCTGTTCAAGGGGCAGGACCAGCGCTCCACCAGGTAAGCACCAGGGCTCATCTGGGGGCAGGATCAGGACTCACCTGGGGGCTGGATCAGGACTCACCTGGGGGAAGTGCAAAGCCCAGATGGGTCTGGAAACACCCCGTGGGACCTGCTGCTTGTCAGAGGGCACTGATGCATCCCTGACTCCATCTAGCCATACATGGCTTCCTTTTCCCTGAAATCCTCTAGCACACAGAGACCCAGCACTGTAAGGACTTGCATCGGAAGGACAGAGTCCCATCCCTCAGGCCAGAAGGAAGTGCAGATGGTTGAATGTCCCCTTTCCTGCAGCGGCAGTCAGGAGCAGGACCCAGACCTCTTGCCATAGGTTCCCCAGCCCCTGGCGGCTCAGCTGGTAAAGAATCTGCCTGCAATGCAGGAGACCTGGGTTCGATCCCTGGGATGGAAAGATCCTCTGGAAAAGGGTAAGGCCACACACTCCTGTGTTCTGGTCTGAAGAATTCCATGGACTGTATAGTCCCTGGGTCACAAAGAGTCGGACACGACTGAGCGACTTTCACTTTCACCAATGCCACTTCCATGCATGACTCACACCCAGGATGGTTCTGTTCTCTGTTAAGCCCTGGAGGACACAGCAGAACGGAGGTTCCACGGAGCTGCTCTGGGCTCCAGGGGAGGCAGGTGCAAGTCTGCCACGCTCTGTGCATCTCAGGGCAAGTCACTCAACCTCTCTGAGCCTCGGCACCCTCAGCAGGACTTGTCTTGAGTGGTCTTGCCAGGATGGATGAGCACCTGTGAAAGAAAGCTTAGCTAAGTGCCTGGACCACACCAGGATTCAACAAGTACAGTCAGGAAGTGAATCATCAGTTCCCTTTCAAGTTGCTGCGCTGGAGAAATCCAAGTTCCCTACTGGAATGTCCACTCAAGAGAACCTGAGCAGAGAATCCCAGAGAAGGGACAGAAGAGTAACTCATGGTTATTCCACGGCCCATCCTTCCACCCTCATCGCCCGACTGAGACCGAGTCAAACCACGCTTTTTGCTGTCTCCCTGGTTCTCCCCGGTGCCACCCCAGCAATCAGGGCAACCTTGGCGCTGCACAGCGAGGAGAGGGAAGACTCCCCAGATACAACTTTGCCTTCTTCCTTGCCCTGAAAAGTTTGGGAACACCTCCCCGGAGCCGAAACAGTCCCTCCCGGAATATGGTTAAAGGGAAAGCCAACCCACCCCCACCCAACCATCTTGACTTTCCAGACTGTAGTACCAGTCTCCTGGAGGAATTGCTCAGTGCAAGCAACTTCCTCTAAGTTTAGAGTCTTAAGCCCTTCGTGCATCCATCCTTCAAAAAAAGAATTGGAACGAAGCAAAGCAGGCTGCCCACATGACCGTGGTCAACACAGGAAGTCCTGCTTGTGAGCACGTGATCCCAGAGTAAGAATCTTACCTTCTTGGCCTCCAAAGGCTAAGTACTTAACATACAGTAACTCATGAGATTCCCCACAACCCCTGATGAGCAAGGTTTAATTATCCCCCTTTTAGAGATGAGGCAACTGAGGCTCAGAATGTATCAGGAGCCTTCCCTGGCTTCATGGCTATTAACAGCAAGAGGGAGAGCCAAAATGCTAGTCTACCCTCAGAGCCAGCGCTCACACAGAGCACCCAGGGTGTCCTCCCCACGTGTGTTCACATCCCTCGATGTCCAGACACCCACAGTCCAAGAGCTAACAGAAATTTCTAGAAGCTCTGAAGGCCTGAATGGCAAAATCTGTCCATAAAATGCTTGTTTCCGGTGGGGAGGGCCATCAGAATGGCTGGCCACCTCATCTGTCACCCCTAATTAGGAATGTACCCATTATTAAGACGGAGGAAACTGAAACAGCCACTTCTAATTATTTCATTAGCAACCCCATTGAGCACCTCACCACCCCGAGACACATATTTGGGACATAATTAAATGCCGTCATGTCTTCTATAAAGTTGTTCTCATGTGAGCTAATTCAGCACCTAAAATAAGAAGATTATGCATATTAGGTGAAAACACGGAAAATCTTATATAAAAAAAAGTGAAGCAATTTCTGCTTTCTAGAAGAGTTCTCTTTTCAGGGAGGGGGCCCCTAGCTCTGCAAGGATGGAGCGCGAGGTCCCATGCAGCTGAGAACTGGAGGGCTCTCTCTTTCATCACTGAGTTTGATCCAGATTGAAAGTGAAAGTGAAGTCTCTCAGTCGTACCCGACTCTGCAACCGCATGGACCACAGCCTACCAAGCTCCTCCATCCATGGAATTCTCCGGGAAAGAGTACTGGAGTGGGTTGCCATTTCCTTCTCCAAGGGATCTTCCCGACTCAGGGATTGAACCTGGGTTTCCCGCATTGCAGGCGGATTCTTTACCATCTTACCCAACACCGCAAATCCTGGCAATATACCATACTGTGACTGGGGCCTGGCGGTGCACTCCCTAAGAAACTAAACGAGCAAGATGTAAGACTGCACCCCGGAGCTTTGACCTGTGGTGTCAGCATGAAAAGGGGGGAGCCAGCAGAGCCCCCCAAGGCACCCTGACACCTTCACCCGATGTTATCGGGTTGAGTCAGCAGGATCCCCGCCCTGGCGACACCCTAAGTAAGCCAGCTTGGCTAATTTACCCTGAGGATCAGAGCATCAGTACGGGGCAGGATGGGGGTGCAGGGCCGCGGGACTCCACCCTCCACCGCTCTCCAGACTCGGGCTGAGGGGCTTGGGCCCTAACAGAGCCTAACAAAGGGCTGACCTGCTGGTGCTGCGTTTTGAGAAGATTCCTCTAAGAGCCGCGGAGTCCGGGAGTCTGGGCAAGGTTGATTACCCAGAAAAGGGCCACTGGATCATGGCTGGAGGGAGGATAAAAAAGTGATGGACACGGGAGGCACTGAGTGAGGACTCGCCAGGACCCGGGAGGGGAAGAAGAGGCAGGAGCTGGGGCGACACGGAACGCGGAGATCACGTGACTGGTGTGGCCTGTCGGAGGGCGATTCAAGGTCAGTTCAGCACAGTCTTGACCTACAGATTCCGTTAGCCATCCCTCCCTCTCAGACCTCCAAATGCAAACGCTGCATTCAACTGAAGCACTAGGAAGCATGGGGTTTCAACCCTCCGCAGAGAGAAGCGTCCTTGGATTCAGAGATAACACGATGCTGAATGGACCCGACTGGTCCCCAGGATGCTGGCTTCCGGGCAAGGCTGAGAGCAGGTCAGGAAACACTCTGGGGACGTTCCTCTGACTTTGCCAGATGGTAGCTGCAGACCTTTGTCATCATGCTGCTGCTGCTGCTAAGTCGCTTCAGTCGTGTCCGACTCTGTGCGACCCCACAGACAGCAGCCCACCAGGCTCCCCCATCCCTGGGATTCTCCAGGCAAGAACACTGGAGTAGGTTGCCATTTCCTTCTCCATGTCATCATACTAACCTCTGGCTTTTCTGTTTTATTTTGAAAACAAGTCATTTATGCAGCTAAGCCAATTTCTCCCTTCTACCTTTGCTGCCAGCAGACTCAGTCTTGGATGCATCCCTAGGGCCAGGACAGAGTTATTTCTCAGTCTTTTCATCAGAAATTTTCCTTTTCTTTTGTAACTGTTCTGTTACCCTATGTGTTTACCTGTAGAAGCTTATCCAAGCTTTTCTGAAAGGGGGCAAGCATGCTCTACCCTATGCAGCTGCCTCTGTGTGGCCAAGAGCTCGGAGCAAGGAATCAAACACATGGGAAGCCCACTGCCTAGCGACCCCAGCTCACATACGTAAGATCAACATCCCTGTTTGGGTCCCACTGTGTTCCCTGAAAGGTATGTGGAGGTCTTAGCCTATGGGCACCTGTGAATGTGCCCTTATACGTAAACAGGGTGTTTTGAAGATAAACTTTAAAGTCCTACTGGAGTAGGCTAGGCTCTTGGTCTAATATGACTGGAGTCTTTATAAGAAGAAAAGAGACACAGAGACATTGGCCCATGGGAATGCACCAGCAGGACACCACGTGACAACCACACAGAAGGGATGATGGCTGTGAGATGACGGGGTATGGATGGGTGGCAGAGGGCAGAGATTAGAATGATGCTGCTGAAGACAAGAAATGCCAAGGATGGCTGGCAACCAGCAAGGGAGCAAGCGTGGCCCTGTTAAGACCGTGATTTCAGACTTCTGGTCTCCAAAACGGTGAGAGAACACATTGCTGATGCTTTAGGCCACCCAGCTTGTGATCTTTTGTTACAGCACCCTCAGGAAACCAAGAGTCCTTCATACAGGAGCAGACGCCGCCCTGCCCCCAGGCTCCACACTGGCCCCACGTGCTGGCTTGCTGCTCCTCCCTAGGGTCCCGGAGACCACCACGAGTCTGGGCAGCTCTTCCCCAACATCCGACACCTGCAGGACTTCTTCCCTCATGTCTTTCAGGTCTGCTCAGACCTCACCTTCTACGGGAAGCCCTCCTGACTGCTCTCTGTATACAAACCACCCACTCCTGCCCTCTGCATGCTACAGGGCCTGCCTGTTACAGACTGAACTGTCTCCTACCCCCAAAATATGCTGAATCCTAACCCCTATTTGCTCAGAACCTTATTTGGTGAATAGAGACTTCACAGAAGGAAGCAAGTTAAAACTAGACCACAGGGAGGCGTCCAAACACCATACGGGGGCTTCCCTGCTGGCCCAGACAGTAAAGAATCCACCCACAGTGCAGGAGACCTGGATTCAACCCCTGGGTCAGGAAGACCCCCTGGAGAAAGGAATGGCGACCCACTCCAGTATCCTCACCTGGAGAATCCCAGGGACAGAGGAGCCTGGTGGGCTACAGTCCATGGGGTCCCACAGAGTGGGACACGACTGAGCCACTAATGAAATGATATGACTGTGTCCTTGTGAAAAGGAAAGACACATACAAAGGAAAGGGGATGTGAAGGCAGTAAAAGAGAACAGCCACAAGTCCAGGAAGGAGGCCTGGAGGAGATCCCCTTCATGGCCTCAGGAAGAACCAGCCCTGGCGGCATTGATGTCAGACCTCCGGCCTCCAGCACAGAGGTGGCACGGTCCTGTTGTTTACGCCACCCAGTCTGCACTGGCGAAGGCAGCCCTAACCAACTAACACACTTTCTGATCTGCTACATGCTTCCTTCTTCTTTCTTTGCTCCCTCTTAGAATCCAACCCCACGTGGGCAGGGACTTTTTATACTGTATTTTTACACTGTATTTACTCTGGTCACCACCCAAGAGCTTGCCACAGTGTCTGGTATGATGCAGCTGTGCGATAAATACCTGGAATTAACAAATGAATGTGTTCGCTGCTCCCTCCGTGACTGGCACCACACTTACATTAGGTATGATCCTGGGCAATTTTTTTTTCCTCCTGACACTAAATACGTGGTGTCTTCTAACACACCAGTTGTCCGACTCTCCAACACCAGCTGGTGGCCAATAATTCAATTCAATTCTGACACTGTCTACCTAGAGTCAGTGAAAGGGATCATTTGGTCCCTGAAGACTGTCCCCACTTCAGACAACAGTCACAAGTCCGGAGCCACGCAGTCTTCTCACAAACGGCTATAAATCAGAGGTGCCCGAGGCCACCTCTGCAGGTTTGATAATCATCTAGCACAACACACAGAACTTCAGGAAGTTACTTCCCTTACTACTGTTGTTTTTTGTTAAATCATTAAGTTGTGTCTGACTCTTAGCAACTCCCTGGACTGTTGCAAGCGAGACTCCTTTGTATGGGATTCTCCAGGCAAGAATGCTGGTTCAGATTCAGATTCAGATTAGTCTCTCAGTCGTGTCCGACTCTTTGCGACCCCATGGACTGCAGCACGCAAGGCCTCCCCGTCCATCACCAACTCCTGGAGTTTACTCAAACTCATGTCCATTGAGCCGGTGATGCCATCCAACCATCTCGTCCTCTGTCGTCCCCTTCTCCTCCTGCCTTCAATCTTTCCCAGTATCAGGGTCTTTGCCAATGAGTCAACTCTTCGCATCAGGTGGCCAAAGTATTGGAGTTTTAGCTTCAACATCAGTCCTTCCAATGAATATTCAGGATTGATTTCCATTAGGATGGACTGGTTGGATCTCCTTGCAGTCTAAGGGACTCTCAAGAGTCTCCTCCAACATCACAGTTCAAAAGCATCAGTTCTTCAGTGCTCGGCTTTCTTTATAGTCCATCTCTCACATCCACACATGACCACTGGAAAAGACATAGCTTTGACTAGATGGACCTTTGTTGGCAAAATAATGTCTCTGCTTTTTATATGCTGTCTAGGTTGGTCATAACTTTTCTTCCAAGGAGCAAGTCTCTTTCAATTTAATGGCTGCAGTCACCATTTGCAGTGATTTTGGGGCCCCCCAAAATTAAGTCTGTTACTTTTTCCACTGTTTCCCCATCTATTTGCCATGAAGTGATGGGACTGGGTGCCATGGTCTTAGTTTTCTGAATGTTGAGCTTTAAGCCAACTTTTTCACTCTTCTCTTTCACTTTCATCAAGAGGCTCTTTAGTTCCTCTTCACTTTCTGCCATAAGGGTGGTGTCATCTGCATATCTGAAGTTATTGATATTTCTCCCAGCAATCTTGATTCCAGCTTGTGCTTCCTCCAGCCCAGCATTTCTCATGATGTACTCTGCATATAAGTTAAATAAGCAGGGTGACAATATACAGCCTTGACTTACTCCTTTTGCTATTTGGAACCAGTCTGTTGTTCCATGTCCAGTTCTAACTATTGCTTCCTGACCTGCATACAGATTTCTCAGGAAGCAGTTCAGGTGGTCTGGTATTCCCATCTCTTGAAGAATTTTCCACAGTTTGTTGTGATCCACACAGTCAAAGGCTTTGGCATAGTCAATAAAGCAGAAATAGACGTTTTTCTGGAACTCTCTTGTGCTTTTTCAATAATCCAGCGGATGTTGGCAATTTGATCTTGGTTCCTCTGCCTTTTCTAAATCCAGCTTGAACATCTGGATTATACAGTGAAATCTGTATATTGAAATTATACATTGAAATCTGGATTATACAGTGGAAGTGAGAAATAGATTCAAGGGATTAGATCTGATAGACAGAGTGCCTAAAGAACTATGGACTGAGGTTCATGACATTGTACAGGAGGCAGGGATCCTCAAGACCAACCCCAAGAAAAAGAAGTGCAAAAAGGCAAAATGGTTGTCTGAGGAGGCCTTACAAATAGCTGTGAAAAGAAGAGAAGAGAAAGGCAAAGGAGAAAAGGAAAGGTATTCCCATCTGAATGCAGAGTTCAAAGAATAGCAAGGAGAGATAAGAAAGCCTTCCTCAGTGATCACTGCAAAGAAATAGAGGAAAACAATAGAATGGGAAAGACTAGAGATCTCTTCAAGAAAATTAGAGATACCAAGGGAATATTTCGTGCAAAGATGGACTCAATAAAGGACAGAAATGGTATGGACCTAACATAAGCAGAAGATATTAAGAAGTGGTGGCAAGAATACACAGAAGAACTGTACAAAAAAGATCTTCATGGCCCAGATAATCATGATGGTGTGATCACTCCCTAGAGCCAGACATCCTGGAATGCAAAGTCATTACTACAAACAAAGCTAGTGGATGTGATGGAATTCCAGTTGAGCTCTTTCAAATCCTGAAAGATGATGCTGTGAAAGCGCTGCACTCAATATGCCAGCAAATTTGGAAAACTCAGCAGTGGCCACAGGACTGGAAAAGGTCAGTTTTCATTCCAATCCCAAAGAAAGGCAATGCCAAAGAATGCTCAAATGACTGAACAATTGCACTCATCTCACACTCTAGCCAAGTAATGATCAAAATTCTCCAAGCCAGGCTTCAGCAGTATGTGAACCATGAACTTCCAGATGTTCAAGAATGCTGGAGTGGATGGCCATTTCCTTCTCCAGGGGACCTTCTCGACCCAGGGATTGAACCTTCATCTCCTGCATTGGCAGGCAGATTCTTTACTGCTGAGCCACCAGTTTATTATAGAGGATACAGCTCAGCACCTCCAAATGACAGAGAAGCCTGGGGGTGGGGTGGTGGAGGGGTGCCACCCTCCAGCAGCTGGATGTGTTCAGCCACGTGGAAGCTCCCTGAACCCCATTGCTCAGGAGTTTTTATAGAAGTTCCATTACATGAAAGTATAATGATTCAGTTACTGGTCATTGGGGATGACTTTAACCCCCGCCCCGTCCGTCTTCTCTCCCCAGAGGTTGCAGGGCAAGGCTGAAAGTTTCAGGCTTCTA